TCGAATATGTAGCTTTAATCGACAACTAAAGGTTGTCGAATAAAACTTTCAAAAATTAAAAAATTTTTATCGTCAGCGAAGTTTTGTTGATTGTGTTCATCTTTGACAGTCAATATCTGTCGATTAAATTATTATATTCAATAGAAAAATTGGCTGTCGAATATACTCATTATCAACTCTAGTTTATACGACAAATATGGCTATTGATTATGGCTGTCGATTAAGATATAATTGACAGATATATCTCTATATTTGATAGACTTTTCTGTCAAATATACCTTGTTTTCCAAGAGTGTTTAGATACCATCACTTGTAGGCCATATATAATTAGGTTAAACTTACTATTGCCTATCATAATGCTTCAAGCTCATGTTATTGGCAAAAACTAGACACCTCTATGGAATTTTTTAGATCCTCTAAAGTCCCAAAAAAAATGCAATAATACTTTAGAGTGCTGTTTTTCTAGAAATAATAAGATATTAAGATGTCACATTTTGTTAAGGAGATGAGTTTTGTGCTAGAAATGGACACAAAACACATATAACACGAGTTTATCAAAATCTAGAAATTGATAAAATTTTATTAATTGAAATTTAGCAATTTTGTCTAACAAGAACAAAACTAGCCATATGCAAGTGGAGGAGTTAGGACTAAAATTGCTTCTTGGTCATATAGTGATTAATTAAAGTGCACGACACCTACTCCACGCCACATGTACTTTTAACCAAAATTTTAAATAGATTAGAAGTTTGAAATTCAGTTTGAAGAGTTCTATTGACTAGTGCAAAATGGCAAAGTGGGCTTTGCAAACTCACAACTATTTGCGACTGTTCCAACTTTGAATATGATTAAGAAAACCTAATTCACACATTTTACATGCATCTTGCTTTCATACCCAAACGTATTGATAAGGCAATTCTCTATGTCTTTATAAACCATGATTGCTCCACTTGCCACAACTAAAACCAAAAGAGTTGAGAAAACTTTAAAGTTTGTCATGAATTATGGGATGGTGAATTCTTTTGGGTTAGTTCGTAGAGAGCCTAAGCACATTGGCTTTCCATAATGATATTTATATAGCCCAAAAACATCGAGTTATGATTCTATATAGGCTACATGAAATTAAAATCTATACAGCCAAGTTAATTTCTAGTAACTTCTAATTTATAAGTTTATAAAATCACTCAAAAGAAATTTATATTGGTACTTATACAACTTTAGGACCTTAAGTTACATAGTAATAAAATCTTTATGAACAAAGGATAATATAAAGCTCAATTATTTAATTAATTGAAAAAATAATTTTCGACTAATTTACTACTAGAAAAATGAGTAATTCAGACCGAATATATACGGACTAATTCTAATAGGTCCGTATAAATTTATATTCGGACCAAAAATGGTTCGAATATATTGGGGTGGTACGAAGTCCATTAATCAATATATTTGGACCAACTACAGTCTGTTGATTGTTGGCACCTAATACCAGTGGAAGCACGCCAATATTATACAGACTGAAAATGGTCTGAATATATTTTCTCAAAAAATAATTTTTAAATAAAAAAATTGAAGAATAAAATGCTATAAATAAGTTATATAGATTGAAGTTGATCCGTATATATTCTTCAGCGGTTGTGACATGTTTTGAGTATTCAGACCGATTTTGGTCCAACTATGTCTAACATTTTCGGACCGATATTGGTCTGTAAATTGACCGCAGTGAATCTCTAATTCGATTTGACATTGGGGCCCACTAATTAGTTTTATACGGACCATTATGGACACATATCCGGACCAATGATGGTCTAAATATAGTATAGGGACCGTCATTCGTCTGAATATCATATACAAACCGTCATTGGTCCGAATATTGGAGCATGGGTTGGTAGTGATGTCCTTAAACAAAACAAAAAAAGTGTAAGAGGAAGAGTTTCTAGATTTTTGGACACATATCTAAACCAATGACGGTCCCTATACTATATTCGGACTGTCATTGGTCTGAATATCGAAACATGGGAGGATGATGATGTCCTTAAATGAAAAGTATAAAAAAATGTTAGAGGGGTAGTTCTTAGATTCTAGAAACATATTCGGACCAATAATGGTCCGGATGTTTATATGGATTGTAGTTGGTCTGAATATAACCAATATTGATCATTCAATTGTTTTTTGGTATAGTATTACATATTCAGACCAATTTTGGTTTGTAAATTTGTACCGCCAAAATCTTGCCAAAAAATTAAATCTTTTTGTTGCTAGCTAGGTTGGCGTTCATTTATTTAGTTTTGGACTGATATCGATCCATATAAATCCTATATATTAACAGCATCCCTCCCAACCTTTCCATAAATTTTCTGATTTCGTTTCTTCCTCTTCTTGTTTTCTTTTCTTCCACTCGTCCCTTTCTGTTTTTTCTTACTATTTTCTTTCTCTCTTCCTCATCTTTCTCACTTCCTCTCTTCCTTCATTCCTCCGTTTATTCTTCTTCCTCTTTT